TCAGCAAAAGTGAGGCCGTAATCAACTCAGTGAGACCCTGTTTCTTAAATAAAATGCAAAATAGGGCTGGGGATGTGGCTCAGTGGTTGAATGCCCCTGAGCTCAATTCCCCAGTACCAAAACAAAACAAAACAAAAAAACAAATGACATCTCTTGTCAACAGCTATGTGGGTACTATCTTAGAAGTAGATCCTCTAGTCTCTGTCAAGTCTTCAGATAACTGTAACTTGACAAAGACTCTTTCCTTTGGTCAAAATGTTAATTCTGTACTAGACTAAGCTTCCATCCTTGTCATAGAAGGACCTATTTCAAAGAAAAATCATGCTAAGTTAGTTTAAGGAAAATACTCCACAATTGTCGTCTGACCACCCTCACTACTATGTGGGGGGTATTAAAAATTTTATTTTTAATAAAATTAAAATAATTTTATTTGATCATGGATTTGGATGAGAAGAATCTGTGCTTTATTTCTCATGAGGGCTTCTCTATTTCCTATTTATCTTTATTCAGAAGGTGTTGCCTTTCAGAGTAACTTCTGGGGTTTGTCAGATCCCCTTCTCCTTGGTGGTCTCTGAAGTCCTATGAATCTCACCAAAGCCATCCTTATCTTTTCAGCCTCTCAGTTACTTCTTCTGCAATTGGCAGATGCCCTTGTGGGATAAACAACCTCAAATACAGACTTCTTTTCTTCCTCAATCTTTTATGCTTCACTGTCCTTGGTAGTTATCCAGTACCTCAAACAAATGCTTTGTATCCAGTTTTTCTATTCTTTCTCAGTAGGAGGATTAGTCCTAATTGGACTAGATAATCCAAGGTTACCAGAAGTTAAATTCCCCTGAGAATTTATTTTTAAAATGTAAACATCTCTCACTTAAATCACTTCAACTGGGTAACAAGATGCTTTCAGCTACAAACAGAAAGTTGGTTACATCAGTAGATCACTGATGTCATCAGGGGCTCAGTTTTGTTCTATAGGTCCACTCTTCAATTCTTGATGTTTGGGTGATTATTTACCCTTAAAGTGTCAAAATCATTGTTGGAACTTCATATTAATTATCTATTGCTGAGTAACAAAATACCTCAAAACAACAAACCTTTATTATTTTATACTTTATGTGGGTCAGAAATTTGGGAATAGCTAAGCTCCATGGTTCTGGCTCATGGTGGCTCATGAGACTGTGGTTGGCATGTTGGCCAGGGTTGCAGACATCTGGAAGCCTGACTGGGACTGGAGGATCCATTTTCATGATGGATCATTTAAATAGCTACTTGCAGGAGGCTTACCTCCTTACCATGTAGGCTTCTCTATAAAGCTGTTAGAGTGTCCCCATGATATGGCAGCTGGCCTTCCCCAGAGTAAAAGATACAGAAAGCAAGGAGGAATCCACAATGACTTTTATGGCCTACTCTTGGAAGTCATCCATAGTTACTTCTACCATATTTAACTAAGCATAAGAGAGCCAACTATGTATAGCCCACACTAAAGGGGAATAGAACTAGGGTCCACCTTTTGAAAGGAGTATGGGTATCAAACTGGGCAGCTATGGTGTAAGTTTGTAATCCCAGGTACTGGGGAGGCTAATGTAGGATAATCGAAAGTTTGAGGACAGCCTGAGCAACTTAGTGAGATCTAGACTCAAAATTTTTTTTAAAAAAGGGCTGGAGATATAGTTCAGTGTTAGATCTCTTGCCTAGCATGGGTGAGACCCTGGGTTTGATCCCTAATACTGAAAAAACAAAAGAGAGGTATCAAATATAACATATTTTTATTTCATTAATTTATTTGTTTGAGACACGATTTCACTAAGTTGCCCAGAATCACCTTGAACTTGGGATCTTCTTCTTGCCTTAGCCTTCCCAGTAGCTTGGAACGCAGGGTGTGTGTGCCACCATGCCTGGCTGGACATTAAAGCCATCAAAAACTCTAAATATAATTTTCACATAGAATAGTATCTCAAGCAAGAAGCAGTGGCCAAGGGCAAAAGAATATAAAAGTTTTGCTCTTCTATGTTTTTTCTTTTATCAGAGAATAAAGGTTTTTTTTCCAGATGTGTCAGTAGACTTCCCTTTATCTTATTGACCCAAATTGGATCAATGCCCATTCTCAGACCAATCTGTGACAAAGGGAGATAGGAGTACCATGCTTAGTTGAAATTAATTGAGATTCACCCCTTGGGGCTGACAGATAAGTCTATCTTCCTTGAGCATATGCATTACCCCAATACTCAAGTCAGATTTCTGCTAGCAAGAAAGGTAGCAAATGGGTGGGAAATGGCTATTGGGTAGGCAATAGTGACTGCAACACATGGTTTCCCATTTCTCTTAGGGGAGAAATTATAGCTTTAAAAAGTCATATCTTTAACATGATTATAAATTCCAAGGGATCTGCGCCCCCCTCCTTTTTTCTTTTCTTGTTTTTTTTTTTTTTTGTTCTCCTTAGGTGACTATTGTTTTGTCTTTTTTTCTTCATTTAAAAAAATTAGTTGTACATGACAGTAGAATATATTTTGACAGAATATACATACATAGAGTATAACTTATTCCACTTAGGTTCCCACACTTGTGGTCATATATGATGTGGAGTTACCCTGATTGTATATACAAGTCTAGGAAAATTATGTCCAATTAATTCTACTCTTTCCTATTCCCCTGCTTTCCTTCATTTCCCTTTGTCTAATCCAATGGATTTTTATTATTTCCCTCCCTAACCTCCCTTGTTTTGGGTTAGCATCCACAAATCAGAACATTCAGCTGTGTTTTTTTAGGATTGCTTATTTCATTTAGCATGATATTCTCCAGTGCCATCCATTAACCCACAAATGCCATGATTTTATTCTTCTCTATAGCTGATTAATATTTCATCATGTATGTATGATTTGGTCCCTTTTGGCAGTTGCCTCACTCACACAATTTTAGACATCTTTTCTCCTCCACTATTTTCTAGCAACACTGGAATTTCTGTATTGTCCCAGGCTCTTTCCTATCTTAGGATCTTTGCATCTCTGCTGCTGCTTCAGATCAGTAGTGGATGAAGCATCCTGATCTTTATGAGCGTCAATATAATTATCCATAAAATGGGGATATAATAGTGCCTACTTCATAAAGCTATTGTGAGGAGTAAGTCATGTATGTTCAGCTCTCAGCAAATAGCAAGTGTTCCATAATTAAGAAGAATTGTTAATTCCAGGCTGTCAGATCGTATCCTTGTTCTGTTTCCTTGCTGAATTGTCCTTTTCAATTCTACCTTATCCAAAAACAATTCATTCCATTATAATACTAACCCAGGTGGAATGAAATAAGTGCTCAATGTATTCACAACAGACCACAGGATGGCCAGGAGGCCCAATCAAACCTCAAATGTAGACTTATTTGGAAGTAACTTCAAGCAGTCATTTCCCAAGGAAGTTTCTCATAATACACAGTGACAGGATTCAAAGAAATTGATGTTTATCTTATAACTTTAAATTTATGTGTCATTATCAGACATAATTGTGTATTAATATCAGTGCACTGCGAATTACTATGTTCCTACATTTTCTTACAGTACTGGGGATCGAACCCAGGGGCACTCTACCACTGAGTTATATCCTTAGCTCTTTTATTTTTATTTTTTAAAATTTGAGACAGGGTCTTGGTAGGTTTATCAGACTGGCCTCAAACTTATAATCCTTCTACCTCAGTCTCCTGAGTTGCAGAAATTATGGTATATGGCATTATTCCCAGTTTATGCTCCTATATTTTATATGGACATCGAGCACCACATATAGAAAAAAATTTGTTTCATATTCAAGTTATTTCATTCGTACTAACTCTGTAAACATGCTCAACACTGAATACATAGTCCCTAGCAAGAGCATATATAATGTTAAGTGTACAGATTCTAGATCCAGATTGCCTAGGCTTGAATCTACTAAGCTCTGAAATCCTAAGCAAGTCAATAAACTTCTTTGTGTATCAATTACTTCATCTGTAAAATGATGATGACAGTATCTACTACTGAGTTTGGGAGCATTAAATTAGCTAATTCATGAAAAAATGCAATGTGTGTGTGCTTGCCATTAGCATTAAAAATGTAACACATAGAATAATTACATTGTATTTTTTTTAATTCTTAAAAAACGGTGGGGGGCTGGGGATGTGGCATGCGCGGGGTGCTGGGTTCGATCCTCAGCACCACATAAAAATAAAATAGAATATGTTGTGTCCATCAAAAATGAAAAAATAAATATTAAAAAAATTCTCTCTCTTCTCTCTCTCTCTCTCTCTGTAAAAAAAATAATAATTCGGGGCTGGGGATGTGGCTCAAGCGGTAGCGCGCTGGCCTGGCATGCGTGCGGCCCGGGTTCGATCCTCAGCACCACATACCAACAAAGATGTTGTGTCCGCCAAGAACTAAAAAATAAATATTAAAAATTCTCTCTCTCTCTCTCTCTTAAAAAAAAAAAAACGGTGGGGTGGGCGGGGAGGATCTGGGTCTCTTTTGACTTCTGAAAGGTCTCGGGATTAAGTAAGGCCTTACGTAGCAGAAACCCATTTTGGGAAGCCTGGACACCATGTTTTCAAAAGGAGGTGGCATTCTGCTGAGAATTCCACGGGTGGGGGTGAGCGCTTTTCGTAAGGCAGCCTAGGACTAAAGCAGCGCCACAGATACTTTGGGTGTGGCTCCTGAACCGCGACTGCAGAAGCTACGGGCCTCTCAAACTTTCCACGTCCAAGTCGTAGCAAGACGCAGCTCCCTTCCGCCCTACCTGCAGGTCGCTGGATGCCGCCTCTCGCTCCGCCCCTAGTCAGGAAGGTTCCCCGCAGCTCGCAGCGTGCCGGACGTGACAAATGGAAGCCGCACGTCCCACCAGTACCCTCGAAGACGGACAGCGCCTCGGAGCAATGGCAGCGAGCCGGCCCCTTTGGGCCGCGGCCAATAGTGGCCGCTCTGCTTGGCGCGCCCTGAGCCGCGGCCGGGAAGGGGCGGTGCGGGAGGCGGGGCGTCGGGGGGCGGTGCGGGCGCGCTCCCGGTGGGCGAGGTGCTCAGCATTCTGCACGCGTCTGGACAGCAAGTCGGTCGCGTTATCCTTCTCTCAGTCTCCGACCTCTCGCCCTCGCCTTATTGCCAAAATGTCGCTGTCTAACAAGCTGACTCTGGACAAGCTGGACGTTAAAGGGAAGAGGGTCATTATGAGGTAATTTTATAAATCTGCCTGCGAGCCCGCTAGGTTCTGCCGCAGCCTTGTTGGCCCCGGGCGGATTTGCTTTCCCATCTGCCCAAAGTTTCTTTCACCATTCAGCGGGATCCCTGGGGTCTTAGGTTTGCAGGACGAGGCTGCCCTCCATTGGGGCTGAGGCTGTGCCGGAGTTTGTGGGTTCCTAACCGTATTTCTTTTAGTCCAGGAAGCGGCTGTAGTCACCTTTTGGGAATAGATCCTACCAAGAAAGGGCTCAGATTGCCGGGACCTGTTTTGCCCCTTTCTTGCTCCTGAAATGCACTTACAGCCCTTCATTGGCGAATGGGACCTAATTCTTAGCCCCCAAATGTTTAGGCCCCAAGAAAGGGACCTTGAAAGGTCATTTGGGTAATTTCCCTTCCCCCACCATTCTAGACCTTGCCAGACAAATGAAAAATTACCCTCATTTTAAAGCTCCTTGCACAAAAGAATATGTTTCTCAGGATGTTTCTTTAAATGTTCAACTGTGGAAACCTCCTAAAGAATTGAGGGTGAGAGGATGGGGCGCACCGATGAGGCCCTGCAGAGTTTATGTAACAAGCCTCTGCTGCTCTACCGTGTCGTTGGACTTCGGGCCAAGGGGTTTGCATCAGGATTGTGACACATACTGGGTAATGGTAGCGCAGGGTGTGGCTCTTCGTACTTGCTATCCTCCAACCTCATTCTGCCATGTGGGTAGAGAAGCAGGATATTAGAAGTGAGTAAGCCTCCCCAAGCACGTGGGGGTCTCTTACTCTGCGCATGTGGAATCGTGGTCATTTACCAACATGGCTTCTCCCTCATCTGCCAGAATTACTAGCATGGTGTATGGAACTTTACATTTATGTATCCTTTTTGTAATTTATGATATATTTCTGCATGCCAGGAATAAAGTGTATGAGGATGGTTAGGTATATAATTGATGAACTTGACTGTTCATGTACCCTAACAAGATTCAAAGGTGATATTTTTAAAGGGCCATAAGAATTTCCATTGATTGCCTTGGGCAGCCCTGACCTTTTAGGGAAGTGGTTAGTTGATGGGCAGGTATGTGAATGGTGTGATTTAGTCCCCTTTACAACGTGGGCCAGTTAAGTGAGGCCATCTTTTGGATATTAAGGAATGCATAAGGCAGTAGGGGAGTAACTGCTTTAAACATGAAGGCATTTATGAACTAGAGAACTAAAAATTAATGTAGCTCTCCCCTTCTCATTTCATTTTGGCCAGGAGTAGTTTGCAGATTGCCTTCTTTGCCTTGCTATGGAGATAGACAGAACCCAATAGGAATGTCCATGAGAAATACCTGATGTCCATATTTCCCCAAGTGGTATAGGCCTTTGTAATCTGGGCACAGCAGCCATTATTAGATAAGCCACAGTATTAGATAAAGATTCTCTCTGGACCTTCTACCATCATCCTAAGCAAAGGGGATAGTCCCACTGGAGAACAGGTCAGGTGGACATTGGCCTACAACAAGATCTTGGGTTTTAATCATTTTTTCTCATTTCCACAGTGCTTAAGGCTGACTTTTTCAAGGAATGGGTCATTGTGCTAGTCACCTTGCTATAAAGGCAGTAAGGAGCTTTATCTCCTCTTTGTAGGGAAACTGGCTTGACGAATTAATTGGGCTGGTTGCACGTGGGAGCACAGGAGGTGCAAAAAAATGTCTTTTCTGCCTCTGCACCCAGTAAAATTTCATTTAACACAGATTTCTAACCCTGAGCCTTGAATTGATTGGCTAGTCCTATTTTGCTGATGGAAGATGACCTGTTCAAGGTTACTGAACTAGCAAATTTGTGGCAGAGCCAGGACTATAATTTGGGTCTCTTTGGCTACCAATCAGATCCTCTACATACTTGAACATAATGACTAAGGACAGGTTAAAATAGACCTTTTGTCTGCTGAAGGTTACAGTCAATATATTTCCCACTATAAATTGTATTTATTTAGGCTGAAGACAGGAAGTTACTTTGTTCCCTGTATCTTTTTTGAACAGAGAGTCACATTGTGGGATTATTATTTTAGAAAAGCCCAGGCAGCCCTGCATACTCAGCTCAATTCCTTTTTGTTTCAGTGCCTTTATGTGGTGGTGGCTGGCAGTGTTTCAGAAATGGGGCCTCCTGTGTAGTGGCTGCTTCACTTGTCTCCTTTCCTTTGTCCTGTGGAAGGGAACTGTGGTGTTTGCTGATTTGTCTGATGGTCCCCTGGTTTGAATTGCCAAGGGAAATCAGCCATTTTGTTGGGGGAAACCTGACTGGTTAATTATCAGGTTCTACATCAGTTTTTTAGGACTCCCATTGACTTTACAGCCTCTTTGAGTAAGTTTCCTTCTTATTTTTTGCAATCTCATTTCCTTTCTTTTCTCTCATAGGTTGCCAGTCATCCTTTGCTTGCTTGTAAAGCATTTCCCCTTTCCTTGTTTCCTCCTGTTTTTTAAACCTCACTGGTTTTCTCTAACTTGTTGTAACTTGTTAAGCAACAGCCCTGATGCAGAGGAAAGAGAGAAAAAAACTCAAGAGCAGGAGAAGAAAAGGCTCCAAAACAGCTATAATACCCCAATTTTCTAGTCAGGGACAGTGATCAATAACTAAAAACATATATTAAAAGAAGTTATATAGCTGGGTGAGGTGGTGCACACCTGTTATCCCAGTGGCTCTGGAGGCTGAGGCAGGAGGACATGAGTTCAAAGCCAGCCTTAGCAGTTTAGCAAAATAAGCAACTTGTCCCTAAATGAAATACAAAAGGGGTGGGGATGTGGCTCTGTTGTTCAATACCTGGTACCAAATATATAAATGGAATTACATAGTATGTAACTTTTGGGGATTGACTTTTCCACTCAGTATGATTTCATCATGATTTATTCAATTTGTCACATATATCAATAGGCCATTCCTTGGTATTGCTGAGTAGTTTTCCATGGTATGACTGTATCATAATTTATTTAAACATTAATTCATTGAAGGACATTTGAGTTGTTTCCAATTTGGGGCTATTACAAATGAAGTAAGTATGGACGTGTGCTGTAATTACTGTAGGGTAAATGCTTAGGAGTGGAATTTCTGGGTTGTATTTAACTCCCCTCCCTTTTTTCTGTGTTGGGGATTGAACCCAGGGCCTCACACATGGCATGCAAGTACTCTACAATTGAGATATGCTCATAAATTGCATTTAACCTTTTTGAGGGAATTGCCAGATTGTTTTCCACAACTGCTGCACCATTTTACATTCTTACCAACAGTGTACAAGTAATCTATGCATCCTCAGCAGCAGTGGATATCTCATTTTTTAAATTTTAGCCATTCTGATATTCATGCAGTGATATCTGAATTTGTTCCTGAGGCAAAGCTTGGGAATGTTTCAGCAAAGTGCAAAAGGAAGGGGTGCAGAGTTTACATAAAATGGAACAAGTAGAATGTGTAGGCAAGAGCAGTTACTGTGTTGGGAGTCCTAAGAAGAGAAGTTGAAAGCAGAGTTGCTGAAAGTGTAGGAGATGATGAGGGCAGTGAGGGGAGAGTACAAATCCAATTTTCATCAGTGAGCTGATGCCATGGCAACATCGATAGATGAGACAGATTCTTGGATATTTCTGCCCAAAGGCATTCCTTCCTGTAAGGTTCTAGGAGTAGGGAGGAGCAATGCAATGGATAGCTTGTGCTCACCCTCTTGCAGGTCTTGCCTTTCTGGGAGGCTGCAACAGGGAAAATGACCCACTGTAATGGGATACTTGATTCTCTTTGGAATGTACTTTGAGGCTGGCAAGGGCCTTGTTCAAGATATTTAAAGAAGATGCTTAGAATCAGAATCAAGTGGCCTGAAACTAAGCAGAGTATATTTCTTTGGTTAGAGGCATACTTATTGCCTTTTAGTTTTGAAGGCTTTCTTCAGAATGATTGAATATAGAACTATTTCCCTCATTTTACCTTTGGAAAGGCCGCTATTCCTGAGGTAGATAGGGGCTCAGGCCTAGGACATATAGAAAATGTGGTGGTTTTCTCACTAGTTCTGAAGGATTTTGTGGTCATCTCCCAGCTCTCAGCTGTTGAGAGGAAGCAGGTGGTGCAAAGGGAAGAAGAAAAAGATGGAGTTTTATGATCAAGGGCAGCAGCAATTTTCTTGACTATTTCATACTTTTCTATAGTCCCTTAGCAAGTTTTTTTTTTAGTAATGCTGGTTGGTTCTGTCTTCCAAATCACAGAATTACAATTTGGACAAGCATTAACATATAACACTTTTGTGGCACATAACTGTGCTAGATACTCTATAAGCACTTTACAAATTTAATTCTCTTAATGACTGTGAGGTAAAGTCTATCATTCCCATTCTACAGATAAGAAAACAAATAATGATCTTTGTGGGCAAAACAGACCTTAAAAATGGGTGATATAGGGCTGAGTTTATGGCTTAGTGGTAGAGCGCATGCCTCGCATGTATGAGGCCCTGGTTCAATCCTCAGCACCATATATAAATAAAATAAAGGTCCGATGACAACTTTAAAAATGCCATACATTATTGCTTTCAGTCACATAGAAATAGGCTGAGGTTCCAGGGAGTTCCGAATTGGTTCTTAAAAATGGTAAAGCAGTGATCTGTTAGGTTAGAAGGGAAAGATTGTGATACATTATTAGCTTGTGACATGTGGCTAATTCCTTCTAATGATCTGTCAGGTGGGCTAAGGCATGTCTCATCCTTTCAGGCTTTTTAAAAAAAATTTGTTGTTGTCAGTGGACCTTTATTTAATTTATTTACTTATATGCAGTGCTGAGATTGAACCCAGTGCCTCATACATGCTAGGCAAATGCTCTGCCACTGAGCTTTGACTTCAGCCCTCCTTTCAGGCTTTTTGTATTGTCTGTTCTGAAGGATACTGTCTGAGCTTGGTACTTGACCCTGGGTTTCTTCCTAGTCTTAAGGCTGCAGGCTTTCTCCAAAAAGAATGATAGTCTTTTTTTTTTTTTTTTTTGATTAATTTTTCAGTACCAGGGATTGAACCAGAGGTGCTTGACCACTAAGCTACATACCCAGCCCTTTTAAAAATATTTGTTTTAGTTGTAGATGGACACAATACCTTTTTTTATGTGGTGCTGAGGATCAAACACAGTGCCTCACATGTGCTAGGCAAGCATTCTATCACTGGGCTACAGCCCCAGACCCCCACCCAACCTTTTTATTTTTATATTTTGAGACAGGGAGGGTATTGCTAAGTTGCTGTAGTTGGTCTCAAATTTGTGATCCTCCTGCCTTAGCCTCCCAAGTCACTGGGATTATAGGTATTTGTGACCTCCACCAGGCAATGATATTCTTTTGATGTGTGTGTTTTTTTCCAGTAATGGTGTAGAATCTAGGGGCACTGTGTCCCTCAGCTACATCCTCAGTGCCCCCTACCCCTGTTTTATGTTGAGACCAGTTCTTGCTAAGTTGCTGAGGCTGGTCTCAAACTTGAGATCCTCCTGTCCCAGCCTCCAGAGTTGCTGGGATCACAGGTGTGCACCAATTTATTTTAATTTTTATTATTTTTAAAATTAATACATTATGATTATATATAATATTGGGGTTCATTGCAACATTTATATATACATATAACATAATTCGCTCCGTTTCATTGTTTTGTATTTCCCCTTTCCCTACTCATGATCCCCTTCTACTCTACTGATCTCCCTTCTGTTTTTAATCGGTTAATGTGTTTTATTCTTCTAATTAATTTTTTCCTAGTTCTTATAATTTAAGTTAGGCTTTATTTTTTGAATTTTTTTAAAGTATGCACATTTGTATGATCACTCAGGTCAAAAAGAAGTAGAACATTACCAGAAGCCCCCTCTGGTATTCTATCCCAGTGCCTAATTATTATCTTGACTTTTAATGCCCCTGTTTTTTTTGTGTGTGTGTGTGTAACTGGGGATTAAACCCAAATTCTTGGGCATGCGAGGCTAGCATTCTACCAACTGAGCTATATCCCCAGCCCCCACCTCTGATTATTTTGAAGGTGAGGTTTGAACTTCTGGCTTACTTAACTGGCTCAGTAAAAGTGCTGCTCCTGATCTTGAGAGAACAGTAAGTTGATCTTGGTTCTGAAACTGAAATTTTTGTTTCTTTTTTAGAGTGGACTTCAATGTTCCTATGAAGAATAACCAGATAACGAACAATCAGAGGTAATGTTCTAAATCTAAATCCTAAATCTGGGCTGGGTTTAAGATGTATGTTGGTGTGAATATATAGGATAAAATGGTTTACCTTTCATATTGTAAAATTATAGTAACTTAAGCCATGATTTTGGTTTCTTTCAATCTATCATCTGGTTTGCTTTCTTAAGAGAATGTAAGAATTGAAACATTCTAAATTTTAAAAAACATTTTTAGTTGTAGATGGACATAATAAGTTTATTTATTTATTTTTTTATGATGTGCTGAGGATCAAACCCAGTGCTTCACATGTGATAGGCAAGCACTCTACCACTGAGCCACAACCCCAGCCCCTGAAACATTCTAAATTTATGAGAAAATACAAACTGAAAAAAATCATCCTAAGAAAGTGATTTTTCTCTCTCCTTTTTTTTTTAATTTGAAGAATTTGAGTTGTTCAACTATGCAAGAGAAGGATTTTTAATACCAATAATTATTAAGCTTACGTATAGTTTTATAAGACTATTCCAGATAGCTTTAAAAAGTCAGTTTTGAGAATTTTGATTCATTTTTACTTTTATTTTTAATTTATTTCTGAGACATGGTCTTGCTGTGTTGCCCAGGTTGGGCGGTAATTCAATAACTAGCCTTAGCCTCCTGAGTAACTGGGATTATAGGTATGCATTGCCATGACTGGCTTTGATTTGTTTTTGCTTTTAAAAAACAAAGCAAAAGACTTCAACAGTAATATTTTCAGTCAGTTTAGCTGTTTCAGTGTCTTGGATCCTAGATTCAGACAGAAGCTGTTTATTTTTTATTTTTTTTTTTATTTTTAGAAAATGTCTACATTTTTTTTTTTACCAGTTCAGCATAATTGTACACAGTGGTGGGATTTGTTGTTATATCATTCCTTAGTATTTACCCTTTTCCTCCCCTCCTCCCTATACTTGGTTCCTTTCTTTTCTTCCACTGATTTCCCTTTGATTTTTCTGAGATTCTCCCTCACACTGTTGTTTTCCCCTTTTTCCTTTCTAGCTACCACATGAGAGAGAAAACATAGTACCCTTGATCATCTGAGTTCATTAGATACAATGTACTCAAGTTCTATCCATTTTCCAGCAAATACCATAATTTCAATTTTCTTTTTCTCTTTGGTACTAGGAATTGAATCTGGGGCCACCTAACTACTGAGACACATCCCCAACCTTTTTTGCTTTTTATTTTGAGACAAGGTCTTACTAGGTTGCTTAGAGCCTTGCTAAGTTGTTGAGGTTGGCCTTGAACTTACAGCCCTTTTGCCTTAGTCTCCCAAGCCACTGGGATTACAGGCATGTGCCATTGACTCATTTTTTTTTATGGCTGAGTAAAACTCCATTGTGTATATATACCACATTTTGTTTATCCATTCATCTATTGATTAATAGCTAGGCTGGTTCCACAATTTGGCTTTTGTGAATTATTTGCTATAAATGTATGCATTTTATAGTATGATGACTTTAATTCTTTAGGCTAAATACCAAGGAATAGTATAATTGGGTCATATTGTGGTTCCACTCTTATTCTTTTGTGTGGTTGTACTAATTTACAATCTTACCAGTAGTGTAAGTCTTCCTTTCAGAAGCAGAAGTTTTAAGTAATAGTACTGCTTTTATTTTAAATTTTAAATGAAAGCTTGAGCTTGAAAGTTGCTTCTCAAGACCAGTGTTATCTAAAAGAAATGTAATGTAAGCCATATTTTATTCAATTCAGTAAGTCTAAAATAATTATTCCAGTATGTAATCACTATAAAATTAATTAAAGGACAGTTAACATTTTTATGCTGACTTTAAAATCCAGCATGTATTTTACACATATATAGGACATTTCAGTGTGGACTAGTGTCATTTCTAGTAGTCAGTAGGCTCCATAATAGCTATTGGCTAATTACTAATGGATACCATATTGGACAGCGTAGGTCTAGAACCAGAATATTTTCAGGTATTAGTCCAAGAATAGATAGGACCTGGCATTTTATGAGAAACGTCCCTGCATTATCATGGCAATAAGATCTTTGTACACCGCAACTCCAATCACCCCCCTTTTTGTGATGCTGGTTGTTCAACCCAAGACCTCGAGCATGCTAGGCAAGCACTCTTCTACTGATCCTCATCCCTTTTGACTGGTCTTGATTTTCATTATCCTGCGTTATATAGAAAAGATTCCATATTTACCTGTTAAAGTATTTAATGAATAAAAGCATAGAAACATGTCTGGGTGCATTAGTTGTAGGTGGATACAATACCTTTATTTTATTTGTTTTTATGTGGTGCTGAAGATCAAACCCAATGCCTCGCACATGCTAGGCGAGTGCTCTACTGCTGAGTCACAACCCCGGCCCAAATTTATTGATTTCATTGGGCAAACTTTATACATGATACAGTTTATTTTTATATAAGAAAGTTTCTGTATCTGTTACATAGCATAAAATATTTTAGAAACATTACTTTTTTGTTTCATCATTCCCTTCTTTGATCAACTTTATCACATTTTCCCTTGTCAGCCTACATAAAATCTCCACTGTTCTTTTTTTTAATTCTTAAAAAATTTTTTTCTTAAAGCCTTTATTTGTTTAGTTTTTTTTTTTTTAATGTGGTGCTAAGGATCAAACCCAGTGTCTCACACATGCTAGCCAAGTGCTCTGCCACTGAGCTACAGCTCCAGCCCTCTACTGTTATTCTTCATTCTTTTATCTGCCTTCATTGCTTTACTTTCTCTATAACTCTTAACATGATCTGATAAATTACACATACATACATACATTGTCTGCATGTTTTTGCACATACGCACAAATAAAAACTAAAAAAAAAATCATCCTAAGAAAGTGATTTTTCTCTCTCCTCTATTTTTTTTTTAATTTGAAGAATTTGGAGTTCTTCTTTTTTAAAGAAATCAAAGTTTTAGGTTAATTGACTTCTCTTGTAAAATATCTATGCAAGAGAAGGATTTTTAATACCAATAATTACATATAGTTTTATAAGACTATTCCAGATAGTTTATTTTCTCTTCCTGTGTTAGGATTCTACTTACATGAGAATAGAGATTGTTTATTCTAATTTTTATTTATTTATTTTGGTACTGGGGGTTGATCCCAGGGGTGCTTTACCACACTGAGCTACATTTTTGAGACGGGGTCTTGCTAAGTTGCGCAGGCCGGCCTTGAACTAGAAATCCTCCTGTTTCACCTCCTGTTTTGGCTGTTTTTTTGTTTTTGTTTTTTTTAACTTTTATATTCTTTGCACCTAGAATGATGTGACTGGCACAAAAGAACCATTTAGTAAATGTTTGAAGGAAGCTGGGCAAGGTGGTGCACATTTGTAATTCCAGCAATTTCTGAGGCTGAGGCAGGAAGATGATAAATTCAAGGCCACCCTCAGCAACTAAGTGAGATGTTAGCAACTTAACAAGGCCTTATCTCAAAAAAATAAAAGGAACTGGGGGTGTAGCTTAGTGGTTAAAACACCTCTGAGTTTGGGCTGGGGATGTGGCTCAAGTGGTAGCGCGCTCGCCTGGCATGCGTGCGGCCCGGGTTCAATCCTCAGCACTACAAA